GGGGGGGAACTCAGTCAGAGATGGAAAGCTATTTTTAAATTTTCGACAGGTAAAGGGGAGGGGCAACTGGATAAAAGCGTAGATCTTGAGACTTATGACAGGAAGTGAAAATGGCACGCCTCATGCCACTATGCACCGTGTTAGATCATTAAAGTTAACCACTCTTTGCTCGCCATATATATGCCATAAACGGTAAACCCACCAAGGGGGCACGTCAGTTCATTTTAGAGTGGAGGGAGACCATTTTACAGATTGTGAGCCTTAACATGGGTCACCATAGATTCTTCCCTAAGTTTGTCAGTTAATATCCCGGTTCGCCTAAGATCCCGCATTTCCTTGCTCCCGAGCACCGGGATCTTAGGCAGAGACTACTGTGTACTAGGTTCTAGAGTAACTAGAATCTAGATCTCCACCCTAAAGGCTAAATGTCGACACTGTGCAATAATGAATAATGTTTTAAAATATTTTAAAGTGTGTATTAAAGTTATACTTTATGGAAAAAAAAAAACAACTTTTGTTATCACATAACATAGATAGGCCTACGCATTGGACTGTGGTAAAATATTGAAGCTTTAATGTAATTGTTGTTTTACCTATTTATAGCCTACAAACTGTTTGGGATATAATTGTTTTATAAGCCTTTACCTTTGAGTTCCGACTGGCTAGAGATGTTTTGAATTTGTTTGGAGCACACCTACCTGTCAAAATCAAGAGAGTTCTATAACCACATATTTGACATTTGAGGCATGGTGGTGAAATCAGGCGTTTTTCAAAATAATGAAATAGATGATACCTGCAATTTATCGAATTTTTGTATTTTAGTTCAACACCTTTTTTATCTCTTCTATTCAAAAACACCTTTCTGTGTAGATCTTTCTAAAAACATGATTTTTAAAGTCACAAAAAATGTAAATTTTCAGTTTTTAAGGACCCTCAAGTTTTGCAAGTCACCAAAGGTTGGCAGCCATTTTCTTCCTAATTTTACTGCTGAAACCAGGTGACATTCACCTCCTTCAATCACAAATATCTTGACTTTTATGTATCTCAAGTCAAATGGCTAATTTTTTTTTTCATCAAAGATAGACAAATGAACAAGTTTTAAAATGATACCAATAACGCCACATACCCAAAAATGGATGAGCGCCCGATTCCACTGCCTCGTGACACATTTAATTTGCGATACCTGGATAACTTATGCCATAGTCTAGTTCATCGTCCTTGTATGCAGAAGGATGTATTTTTTTAAATGAACAAAGTAATGCTATTTTACAGCTTTGTCAGTGCCATGCAAATCTGAGGTAAAGATTTTGGTGTGATTTTTTATTCACTGTTGTGAAGTAACAACATGAATGTGAAAATGTCAATCAGACCAATATCTCAAAGGAAATTAATCTAAGAGTACTGAGGAAGTTAAATTTATAAGGTGGTACTTTTTCTGTGGAGGTTAATTTTTTTCTTTTCCCCTAAATAAGATGTGATTTTGATCCATCGTGGAAAGCATTCTTCTTAACTTATGTAGTAGTAACGTATGTTTTTTCTGCTCTTCGCAGACATTTTCTGTAACAAATGGAAAGTTTGTTCATGATCCTTTCCTTTTTCAGTATCGCATCGGCCAGTTGTATATGATTGCCAAGCACAGTCATGAACAGTCTGAACATGGAGAAGGAGTGGAAATTGTAAAGAATGAAGACTGCTCTGACCCAGTGCATGGTGAAGGTCGATACACAGAAAAGAGAGTTCATTTGTCCAGGTGAAGAATCTTTTCATGATGGGCAATTGATTAATTTAACTTTTGAAAATGCTTTAGCTCTCCGATAAAAGTTATCTGTTGATACAGTGGATTTCGGTAAACTGTCTTCTCATGGCTCTCATTGTGTGACCTTGGGTGAGAGTGAGAGATTTCATGTATCGAATTGGGTGATCTTATTTTTTTACTGCTAAGTTTCTTGCTTGTTCATCACTTTCTACTTTTTTCTGTTTGAAGACAGCAAGACCTGAGATATCACTTTTTAAGGCCTACTGACAATTTCTGATTCTCGGTCAGTACGTTTTCTCAAAACGTTGAAAGCAGACATGTACATTTTTCCTTAAAATTGCATCTAACAGAGGAGTGAATGCTCATTATAATATAACTGCTCAGCTGATGAAGACAACCAACAGCTACTAAAACAGCAATGCATTATCAAAGGTTTTTAAAAGTCAAGATTCTGACTGGGATGTTCTTCCTTTTTCCAGTCACCTTTTTCCCTGCCATTCCTTTATTATTAATGTCTATTTTATTTCTTTTATCATGTTTTCTTAGTTAAGGTGTAGAAAAGCTGCAAAGCGTTTTTGTAGGTTGTTCAAGAGGGTGTGTAACACTGGAGTCAGGAGAGTGTGGACTGAATGACATAATTTAGGGAACATGGATATTAAGAGCACCCTCCTCTCCTGATGAGAGACTGAGGGGACACTGTACTGGATGCAAGAGAAAAGAGACAATGTTTTTTTTTTCTTGAGATATATCTCCTTGAGGTCCTTGGTACTTGGCAAGCGAAATTTATATGTAGAAGTGGTTAGTCAGAAATAAAGTCCAAGCATGACTAACATCCTGGATGAAACCATACCTTGATAGCCTTGACATGGAAGCTCATTGATAAAATCTGCTTGTCAAGAAAGTTGTTTTACAGTGAAATTATTGGAGGAAGCTGCAGCAGGTGGGACATTGAAAATTCAAGGACATGTGAAAAGTACTTTGTCAGATGTTTATTTGATTTCAGGTGATAGTCACATGTGCGAGATTAATATTTTTGTTTTTCTTTCTTCTTTGACAGCCGCCTTCCATCATGGATTCGTTCTATGATTCCAAAAGTTTTCTACATCACAGAGAAAGCCTGGAATTATTATCCCTTCACAATCACAGGTATTTTAGATTTTTGGTGATGAACAAGTTAAAAGTTGGGGAAATAGATGAGTAATTTTATAGGCTGACAGGATCATCCTGGAGATAGATGGACTTTGTTTCTTTGGTGCGCATTTTATTTTTAAGATGAAAGTATTTGTGTGTTGGCTCAGGAAAAAATGTACAGAAAAATGATTCACTTGAAATAATACATAATTTGCTGACTGTTTTTGGACAAGATTCTATGTTGCCAATATTTCTTTTGTTGTATCTTTTCTTAAAAGATCACAGTGTATAGCTTTTTTGTATGTCTTTGATGTACATTCTTTTTGTGGAGATGTTGAGGCTTGAGTCTATTTCTCACTACATTTCATTTTCTTTATTTTGGAGAAATTCTTGCGGCTGCTGCTGCTGCTTGATCATTTGTGTAGCTGCTTTGGGAAAATGAATAGGTAGTGCTAAATCATTTGTTCAGTTTATACAAATTTGAAGACAGCATCATTCTTTTTGCATATAATGACTATGAGTGTTTTTAGAAATTTCAAAGAGCTTTTTATATTTTATTTCATATGTGCTGGTACTCGTCTGGACTACAGAATATACGGTGAGTGACGAAAGTGGAGATCCTGGAATTATATATATACAGTCGAACCTGCCCTGACGGCCACCTCTATAAGACGGCCACCTGTACAAACGGCCACTTTCCA